TGAAACCAACCCATTTCAGAGGTCTTCCTGAATTTTTCTTCTCCAAAGAAAGAATAAAGTCATTAGCAATGCCACAACCAAGCACTTACTTCCATCAGGATAGTCTCCATCAGGACCTGTTTCATCAGTCGGAGTGTCGTGCTTGGTTCGAATCCACAATCCCTGGTTGACATTGCAAGGCTGGGTCCAGTCACAAAATGGTCTTGAGTTGTTGTTAAAATCACATCTGGTGAGGTAAGCTGAAACGCAACACATTTCAATAAAGAAGAGAAGCTAGTATGTTCAAAATCTGCAGTGAGTGCTAACACTACCACTGACATGCCATTACCTGTTTCAGGATCCCATGTTCTCAAGCCACCAGTTGGTCTTTGCTTGATCCTGCCAAGAAAAACCACAGTGAAGCCCTTGTGGAATTAGGGTCTCAAACACTGTTCAAGAAAGAATGTTGTCATATGTCTTTGGGTGTTTCACCAAATAACTGAATAGACCCTGGCTTTCATTTACGCCTGACTCTTCCTCCTACCATATATACTTACTCCGTCACAATAAAGCTCTGAAATTGAGTCAAAGGTGGGATATGTCCACTTCATCTAGCGCGGAAGGATCCTCTGCTCTGTATCCCACTGAACTGAAAGGAGACCAGCTCTCCAAGATACAAGGAGCTACAGAAAGGGTGCAGCTCATCTCTGACAATACCATGATAACAGCAAAGACTTACTATTTATTAACTTGCTCATGGCACTGTCATCCCAGCTGTTGCAAAGCAAAGTGTGTAAACGCTTTGCTTTGCAAAAGCAAACTAGTTACACTAGTGTACCATGTAACCCTGTTAGTTTTGTTGGAAGTTTATATATTTCATTTAACTCCTGCAAACCTCTCATGACACAAAGCTGTCATCTTGTTCAGCTCTTCTAATTTACCCTGAACATACTGCAGAACAAAATCAATTATAAATGCACAGTCCTTGTTGTGCTCCAAAGTCCTGCAGAGATGAGCTTACAGAAGACCAAAATCCCACCGTGGATCACAGCATAAATGGCTCTGCTTTTTGGGTGTCTCACGTAGGAAAGGAATTTCCAGGACTGCAAAGCTACAGTAGTAGTTCTTTACATGCTCTGATGGTGGTCCACAGTTTCAGGAGGCAACGTTCAGTTCCAACCTCTGTGATCCCTCCTTAATTATCCATATTGCACTTGACACCGTATCATTTGTCCTTAAGTGAATTAAGTGGATTGCCCCCTCTGCCCCCAGAATCTAAGCAATGACATTCAGAGAAACTAGGGAGATTAGGAGCAAATATCACACAATCAATTTATCAATGAAATGCAGCAAGAAACTTGTAAACAGATTGATGTAAGGCTACAGGGGAAAGAGAATATGTGAAGACAGATAAAGTAAGAAAATTTTCTTCACTGTTCCTTCCTGGATTTCTTTTTCCATGAGAGAAAGAAAGCTGTGACAAGTTGCCACTCAGTCTCAATTCAGAGCTATCTTTAAACTGCTCCACATTATGCAAGTCCTAAGGCAAAGGTTACTGTAGGTATATTCAGAGTTAAAAGTGGTTTATAACTACTGTTTTATTCTGTCAAGATCTCTCCTCTTCAGATATGCCATTAGAATACCTGTAACACGTGGAACATCCACGTTACAGGTTTCTCTCACAGACAGGAGCCAGCGCAGAATTAAAATTCAATTATTTCTTCTTTTTAAAAATGACATGGTTCAACTGTACAACATTCCACATTAAGAAGTGAAGAAAGGATATTTATCATTAACAGCTAAGCTTCCTGAATTAATCTACGTTCAGTACTGTGCTACTTACCCTGTGGTAGTCAGCACTGAAATACAGAATAAAATTAAAGTGTACTGTAAGTGCCAGAGGGTTCCCATGCTAGAAGACAGAGTTAAGTCTTCTGTGTGGTACAGTCTGCATAGTAATCCACCAGTTGTACTCAGCAAGGATGAAATGAGGGAAGGTTACCGTGAAAGGGAATATATTGACCAGAGGGTGGAGGTGATTATAAAAAAACTGCCCAACCATGTATCAGTTATGTTCTCTGGGTTATCTACCTTGAGAAGAGCACGTATGAACTGAAAGCTCATACTCTGTGTCACTCTGACACCCTTAGTTGTCTGCTGGATAAATGGATCTGGTTTTGGAAATTCTTGGTGCTGCTGTTGTATATTTAAAAAGTCTGCAATTTTAAAGGGATTTTTTTTTTCCTCACATTGATAGCATGACAACTTCATTTTAAAGCTCCTGCCCAGTTTTCACTGCTAGTATATGAGATTTTGCATATTGACTGAATTTTCTTCCTTTCTGAAACTAGGATTCAGCAGAGCAGATAACATGCTTTCAATTTACTCACAACAGTCACGTTGTCATGGGCACAATTCACAAACTTGCTGAAACATTTCCGCTACCATCTTGCCCCAGCTTGAAAATAAAAGGTTCATTTTCTGGGCTGCAGTGAAGTCTCTGTTGGTTGCTGGTACAGGAAAACCAGGCAGATTGTTCCCACTGCCTCTCATGCCTTTACTGTTCTCTTCTTTTGCAGCTTTCTTTGCATTGGGGTCTGCAAAGTAATGGCTCAAAGTCAGCCAAATTCCCTACTTCACCCAGATTTCATGAGTGACAAGAATCAAAGGAGTATCAGAAAGTATTCAGGGTTTCCTTGCATTGCCCGAATTGCATGGCTTTTTTTTTTTTTTTTTTTTCCCCTAGATGCAGGATGTCTCCAGGAGTAGGGATTTCTGGAAAAGTGGCCTCTTAGTTACAACAACTTTCCCTTTGTGATTATATTCCAATGATTAAGGTCATTAAGGGTTCATAATTTAAGTCTGAAATTTCAAGTCCCTTTCTTCCTGCTCGGCACAAAATATTTACACTTGCCATTAACAAGCAACTGAGGAGGCTGCTTACAGAAACAAGAGAAATGCAGAAGGATCAAAGGAGGCTAAATAGAAACACAGATATATTTCAAGTTAGAGGTTACATGATGTGTTGACAATGGGCCTGGGGCTGCATTCTGGCACAAGCTCATGTCCCACACAAGCCTCTACAAAGCCAGAGGATAGATGTCCACTTGGGTCTCCACTGAAAATACTTGCCCAGGAAAATATGTGTATTTTTGCCAACCAGTAAACAAGGAAGAGGATTTCTTGATTTAGAGACAAAAGAGACTCTTTCCGTACACAAAACCATTGACCACACGTTTCCAGTTCAGTTGAGGAGAGCACAATCTGATGGGCAGAAAGCAAGTGACCTTCAGATAAAAGTTGCATTGGGCACACTTCATTTTCAGCGAGGCTGCTGAGAAGCTGGTCAGCAATAATGGTAAACTGGGCAATAGCACTGCAATGGGTAGCAAGAGGACCTCCATGTGTGCACATGCTTTCCTCCTGCAGACAGTTAAGGGATTCCTCATGAATCTGATGCTGTTCTGTATGATTCTGACAAGAAGATGTGAATCCATCTTGGAAAGAAAGCAACCCTCTGGCAAATGCATCTACCCCGATGATGCACCATCTTTCACCCCTTGGTACCCATGGCAAATATGAGGCACTGCAGCACCAGGAACACTCCTGTCAATAGAACATGGCGTGCTCTCCAACTATGCTGTGTGACCTTTTCTGTCACTTTGCCACTCCTGTTTAATGCCAGCTCAGGTACCCTGTGAAAGGTGAGCTGGAGTACTCACAAATATAACTAACCTCACGGGAAAGATGACAAGGAAATGACTTGCCATTTGATTCTAGTGGGATGTGACAGTATCCTGCACTGACACACCAGAGGGATGGGATGCCATCCAGAGGGACCAGGACAAGTCTGTGAACTGGGCCTGTATGAACATCATGAGGTTCAACAAGGCCAAGTGCAAGGTCCTGCATCTGGGTTGGGATAATCCTTGGTATCAATAAAGGCTGGGGGATGGTGGGATTTAGAGCAGCCCTGTGGAGGAATTGCTGGTACCAGTGGATGCAAAGCTGGACGTGAGCCACCAAGGTGTACTTGCAACCCAGAAGGCAAATCATATCCTGGGCTGCATCAAAAGCAGCATGGCCAGCAGGCCAAGGGAAATGATTCTGCGACTCTATTCTGCTCTGGTGGGGCCTCATCTGGGGCACTGCCTCCAGCTCTGGAACTCTCAGCACAAGAATGACATGGATCTGTTGGAGTGGGTCCAGAGGAGGGCCACAAAAATGATCAGATGGCTGGAGCACACCTCCTATGAGGACAGGCTGAGAGAGCTGGGTTTGTTCAGCCTGGAGAAGAGACAGCTCCAGAGAGACTTTATCGTGCCTTTTCAGCACTTAAAGGGAGCTTATAAGAAAGACGGGGACAATATTTTCACCAGGACCTGTTGCAACAGGCCTTTTAAACTCAAAGAGGGGAGATTTAGATGAGATATAAGGAAGAAATTTTCTACAATGAGGGTGGTGAAACACTGGCACAGGCTGCTCAGAGTGGTGGTAGAAGCCCCACCCCTGAAAACATTCTGGTCAGGTTGGATGGGGCTCTGAGCAACCTGATACAGTCGAAGATGTCCCTGCTCACTGCAGAGGGATTGGACTAGATGAGCATTACAGGTCCCTTCCAAACCATTCTATGATTCTGACAGTCAGACTGATCACCTTGCAGGCCTACTGTTTCTCTTCATTTGCATACTTTATATCTCTGAAAGGCGCCCAGGAGACACTGCCACTTGTATAAAAATACTGGCCTGCATCTTGAGGAAGAAGAACAGCACTTCTTCACTTCTAACACAGCGAAGCTAAAATTCTTCACAAGGGCACTTGCAGACAATCTTACAAACAAGTTATGTCTTACTTCTGCCTTAAACCAAGGATGCAAGTGATGCACAGCTGGCAGCTAATCTCACTGACTGGCTTCCTAGTGCTCTGCACTGCTGTGTTTCTTTTTCAAACCAGACACCAGATTTCCACCTGTCTTCAGCCAGCATTAAAAATTCTCCTCATCTGCTGCCTGTTGACAAGGCATATTGGGGTTACTCATGAGGACTAATTGCCTTTAGGTGACACAAACAGATTTCCCACATAAAATCTGCAGAAGATGCCAAAAGTAGGGCTTGTTAATGAACACACAACAACAGACAGAGTACTGCACTCAACTTCATTTCCAGCCAGTAATCAGAAAGGGGCTCTTAAAGAGAATCTTAATTTTTGCAGGATGAAGTTAAGTTTCCCAGGAGACAGAACCAGCCTGATACTCCTGGAAAGGGACAGCACAATGAAGACAGAACCAAAAAAAAAAAAAAAAAAAAAAAAATTATCCCAAGCAAGACAAATCAAACAGTAGAAGAAGCAAACTCAGCAGCTCATCCATTCTAGTGAGTGCTGCCTAGTGCAGCTTTTGCTGCACAGTTATTCTAGCACATGTAATTGTCCTCAAGTATGTAAATCTGGTTACTCCATTTTCTTGAAGCCAAGTGTTCCCTGATGAATAGCAATTGTACTTCACCATGTTGCTAATATTCAGTCTGTGGTGTTGTAGACAGTAGAGACCTGGCAATCTTGGTGAGCTTAAAGAATGGAGAAAATTACACAAAACCTTTCTCCTAAGCCATAGGTTTGCTACAGAGGACTGCTACACTACTACGTAACACAAGGCAGAGAGGTCACTGCCTGATGTGAAACGCTGATGTCCTGTTGAGATGCATTTGCAGCACAAGTATATCCCAGGGCCTGTTCTGTCTGAGGCTATGTCTAGAGGAAATCTTAACTGGAATAACTAAATGTCTCTTCTTAAATCACAGAATCACAGAATGGTAAGGGGTTGGAAAGGACCTCTGGAATGGCAGAATTCTGTGCAGATTCTCTTAATTTGGAATACATCAGGTTCAGTGAGCTTGGACATAAAAACTAAACATGATCTGATTTTCAGACAATAGGAAGGTATCTCACTGGCCTTTCCACAAATTTAATTGTGCTGGGCATTTGCATCAATTTTAGTTAAATTGATACAATTTGCAGGAGTAAAAGGATCTCTCTGTTGTTTTTATTCAGATAATAATTTCTTCCTCTGTCCTAACAAATGACTGAGTCAGCTTTTGCAGCCTGTAATATCTGTCACTGTTTCTGGAACCCCCAGTGCTCTCCAGGCTCCAGTCTGCCTTCTGACGCTGTGTGTGAGAAGGCACTGCCAGACAACTCTTCAGGAATGTTTATGGTGGACTCCTGTTGGAACTACCTGACAGTCACTGCTCTGATAAACCTCCATTAAGGAGTTATGAAACACACAATCAGCACCCATAAATCCATAATGAGATAAATCTAGATTGTACAGAAGTGCAACTAATCCCACCTTTGCTCTGTTGAGTAACATGTTTTGACAGGCTGAGGAGGAAGTACACAAAAAATCTCTGTTGCTACAAAATAAATGGATGTTTCTTTATGAGTAAAGTGTACTTGTATTCTGTTGAGCACAAGCTGAGGTTGGCTTTCTAACTGCTAGCTCTCCAAATGGAATCTCTGATTTGAAACTCAAGCTGTCTTTTTCCTGGTCTGAGGGCTTTAATGATTTGGAAGATGGAACGTAGCATTCTTATGAGTGCTCAGGTGCCAGATTAAAATTTCATGCTCCTTCTTATGTTTTGAACAGTGCAGAGGTAACAGAAATATAAAGATAACAGCTTTTCAGTCAGTGTTCTCATTTGTCAGCTGCTTATGGACAAAATTCCTTCATGCAAATAGTACTCTTGCACTGTGACCTACAAGAAATGCATTTTCATGGTAACATCCACAAGTTTATTAGGTTTTTGCAAATGTGTACTATACTATACAGTAGTTATTATATAGTAATTATATGGTAATATATGACTAAAATGGTAACTGTTAAGGTCTTTCTTATCTTTGAGTTGAAATATATCACAGTGTATTTCATTTCCAGAGTACCACGGTAA